TTGTATACATTTTTTTTATAAAAATAGATTTGTATAAATTTATGTACTTATATGCATATAAAATGTTTTTTATTTACTTAATAAATATCTATTTTATAAAAGTTTTTAAAGGTATACATGTGTACAATAACGTATTTTACTATTTCAAACATTTTCACATAACTACGTTTTTATAAATAGATATTTAAAATAAAATAATGTTTTTATAAATACGTACTTTGAATAAAAAATGTTTTTTTTTAAGTTTTTATATAGGTATTTTGCATATAAAAATATATTTTTAAAAAGATATATAGAAAAAAGAAGGTTTTCATGTGAAAAATATGTTCTTTTTTATAAATATGATTTTATACAACAAACAAAACATATTCAAATTTTTTTTGAAAAAAATATAAAAAACTAAATTTATGATGAAAGCGTAAAAAAAATTTGAAATTTGGGTCAAAGATGTAAATTTTGGACTAAATTTATAATAAATGTTAAAATTCTGGCCAAAAGTATAATTTTTGAAAGTGTGATGACTTGTTGACCCGTTAAAAGCGTCAAACTATATAAAAAGAACATATAATGACTAAATCGATTATGAGACCAAAATATAAAGATTTTTATTGAGTTTTCCCTTTATTTAAATAAATAACTATTTTATTATGTGACTCAAACAATTCATACATTATATGTTGTTGTACCGCCATCGTTCATCACACCTGGATCGTTTCTATTATTGTCTCATGACTCGGATAATGATTGATTTGTTATTTCATCGAATCTCAGTCGTCTCCATCTTGTCTCTTTCCGATTGATTCATTATTTTATATATGATAGTATAATAAAAAATTCATTCTCTCTCATATGGAATTGTACTTTCTTTCCTATGAAATATGCAAAGAGGGATGGTTCGATATTACATGTATATTATCTTCGATTTTACACATATATTATCTTGTTCTAAATAAATAGACAACTTTACATAAATGGTCCATATGTTTTTACCAAAAATTATAGGTTAATTCCTAACTTTTTTCTCGATGAAAATGGTCATTGTTTCAATTTTTTGTGTAGATGGTCTCCGACCCATGCAAAATGACTTTTATACCATTTTATCATCCTTATCTTTTTTTAATTGCAATTTATATTAACATCAAGTTTCAAGGCCCCAACATATCCATCCTTACCTACTCCATCCATTTCCATTCTTTTGTTACCTTTCACCACCATCAGTTTTAGGAAAAAAAGAAAACATTCTCAAACATAAACACATGAACCGATAAACAATCAAAACGAAAACACACACATAATAGTTGAAACCCAAATCCAAACAAAAATAAGAAAAATCACTAATTTTTTAACATCCTATAATTGAATATATTGCATTTTGGTCCCTAAGTGTAAGGAAGAGTGCAAAAGGGCCCATGGTGGCAATTTGGTAAAAGTTGGGATTGAGGAGTACGTTGTGCGTACGTGTGTACGCTAAGCGTACTATGGCACGCCTTAGTACGTTGGGCATACACTTCGTACGCAGGGCGTACGTGGAAAGCATGCAAACCCTAATTTTAGGGTTTTGGCTCATATTTAAGCAGCCTTATGGACTCATATCCTCTTTTTACCTAGCCTCCTTCTGTGATTTTGACCCAGGGCGTCCCTGGTAAACTGTAGGCCTGAGAGGCGTACCAGTTAGGCCGAAGGCCCAGAGAACAGTCCAGATAGGCTGAAGGCCCAGTGAGGTGTTCCAGTCATGCTGAAGGTTCTGTGAGCGTTCCAGATAATCTGTAGGCCGATGCAGCGTTCCAGTCAGGCTGAAGGCTCTGTATGCATGTTGTTTGTTATTATGTTTATGTGGTGGTACTTTGGGGTAACTCACTAAGCATTGGCTTACAGTTTTGGGTTATATTTCAGGTACTTCGAAATGACCGCGGGAAGGCGAATGCGAGACCGTACACATCCTCTTGTTTATGACTTAGGATTTTGGGGAGACTCTGATGTTGGAAAATGTTTTGAAACTAAGATTTGTAAACATTTTATGAATTTGGGTTGATTTTAAAAGTTTAAATTCATTGTTATTTTTATGGATGTTACAAATCTAAACACAAATCAGAAAAATCACATATCTAAACTAAAAGTGGAATTGCATTTAAACAAATCTATGAACACAAAACACCATTAACACTAAGTAATAATTATATTTAAACAAACCAAAAATTCATCAAAAACCCTTCTAATGTTGAGGAAATAACCATGTGTTTTATTTCTTTTAATTAGATTTTATTACATTTTCTATATTTCTCTTTTGTGCTTTATGTTAATTAAATAAAGATGCCAAAAACCACATAAACATACACCAAAAATCATGTTAATTGTGTGTGATTTTATGAGGAGACCAAATAAACACACAAACATACACTATTGGTCCCATATTTTTTCTTTTTCTAAATGACCATCAAATCAAATAACAAATACACAACATAGATAGAACAATGGAAGAAAATCATAGCATGGAAATCTCAAAAATAACAAAGATAATAATTATTTAGGAAATGTCAAGGGGAAATGGTAACTTACTAATAGAAGCTCTCAGATCTAATATTTGGTGTTTTTACCAAACATTATACTTGAACATTTGTATTTCATAATAGCCTATGCAAGGTTATACATCTTGCCATGCATTTTACATGCAACAATATCTTCAAAGATGCCTTCTTTGGCATCTTGCAAGAACCTCCAAACTAAGCATTAAAAATATCTTCACTTAATTCATATAAGTCAAAATCTTGTCTTGATATATGGGCACCAATTATGGAAGCGAGAAAGGCTTAAGTGGTGGAGGGTGAAACATAATGAAAAGAAGACTCATGAATTAAAGATGTAGGATATGGGTGGCAGGTCAGAAATTTTTTTACTTAATTATACGCATAATGGCAACGATGGAGAAGAGAGTTGGAAAAAAGAGATAAAAAAAGTGTCGTAGAAATAGAAAAGGAAGAATATAAGGGTGTTGGATGTAAAGCTTTCCATGTAGGGTGACTTGGAGGCTTGGAATATTCCTTTCCCATTTTGAGTATACTCATTTAGGGCTTGGAGCACTCCCTATATATAGTCATGTTATATCCATTTAGTGTGTTTGCACAAAAATAACTAATCATATTGAGTTGAGGGTTTAGTCATTATAGATAGAAATTATTTTATCATTTATAGTTTTTACTCCTCTCAATAAACGATTACTATGTTTGACATCGAAAATTCATCTTGTTGATTGTGATTGTTCTTATTCTGCATATGTCAAATATAGATTTTTCGATCCAACAGTTGGTATTATAGCTATCGTGCTCATATGATTTGACTATCTTATTCATAATCACTAGATTTGAGTTTTTGGTGGGTTTCTCATATATTTGGTATTGTTCTTATGAAGATTTATTGAGAAACCTATATATATATATATATATATATATATATATATATATATATAT